AAACGTTTTTAAAAACAAAGAAAAGTTTTTGACAACTTTTTTTGGGAAAACCCCCCCCCCCCCCCCAGGCAACCCCAACCCCCTTTTAAAGAAGCAAATGAAAAATGTTGGGTCAGTCATTGGGAATTAGTGTTCTGGTTAGATTGCCTTGTTTTCCTTACAAGAGGACAATAACACAAACCCCAAATAGCTCCCGCTTCCTTATGTTCATTGTATCTGTGAAATTTAAGGATACAATTAGTTTCTTGTTATATTGCAAGCTTGAACTCTGATCTCACGGATATTACTGAAATTGCAATAAGTTTTGACAGAATGCAAAATGTCGTTTTTAATTTTACTTTACTTGTTTTTGAAATTTTCACTTATAAGTGTTCCTAGAAGGGGGGTTGGGGGAACTTTCTGACCTAAGCAGATATGAGTTAAATGGAAGTGTGAAGTATTCAAGGGATGCAAGACGTTTTTAATGTAAAGGAGTTCACTAAAATCTTATACCTTTTTATTATAAATCGCTTTCAGAACTTGATAAAAACTTAGTAGATCACGTTCGGAAGGAAATTTTAATTCAGACATGAGATGAAATATGTGCAATGTAATGGAAATCATATCCCATTGAAATGCTCAGCATCACTTTGTGAGGAAGGGAGATAGATTTAATGTTGGTAGAAACTATGATTTAAACTTGAAGTGTCACTTTTTTTGAAAGTCAGAAGTAGTTTAATTTTGTCTTATGTACAAAATAAAAGTATATGCTATGTACATATTTCAAAAGTCATGGTTGTTTAGCTTTTTTATTAGTCTGGAGCAAATTTTCACTTGACTATTTTAATTTGATTATAAATTATATATAATTTGTCATATAAAACAGATCTGTGGACTTTGGCAAATCACAAGTCCATGTACACATTTAAAACTATTTTTAAGCATGATCAACAGTGAACTAATAATTATGAATTGCACATCATGTGATGATAGAATACTGGTAAAATAAATGACTGGCAGATTTATTTCCCTGATGCTCTAAATTAGTTCACATTAGTTGTTTCGTATGTTTCACCATCCTGAGTACTGCTATTTTCCCCTCTGAGTACAGTGAACTATGGGATCACCAAAGTGGAAGGACAGCCTCTTCACACCGAGCTGAATCGAGCAATGGATAGCTGCAACAATCTCAGGATGTCTCCTGTGAAAGGGATGCCAGAGAAGGGTGAACTGGATGAACTTGGGGACAAATGTGACAGCAATGTATCCAGCAGCAAAAAAAGGAGACACAGAACTACCTTCACCAGTTTGCAGCTGGAGGAACTAGAAAAGGTCTTCCAAAAAACCCATTACCCGGACGTATACGTCAGAGAACAGCTTGCACTAAGAACAGAGCTCACTGAGGCCAGGGTCCAGGTAGGTTCTGAAAGGTGGCCTTTCGGGGAGGGCTAATATTATACAAAGTGAATACTTGTAATTTGTCAAAAAGGAAGAAACATTGTCAGCTAAGACATCTTGTGCCAAAGTAACATATGAACAAGTTGGTCTATTAAAATTTCTTTTTAGTTGTAATAATTTTGACCACTCACTAAGTTTAGGGAAAAGAGCTATTTCAGAAACTGAATGATGAAGTCATTAAAAAAAAAAAAAAAAAAACAGAATACAGTAGCATATCTCTTATTTAAAAAAATCTTAAAGCGTAAATTTTTTTCAAAGTTATATATTTATAGATTTTCAATAGTTATATATTTAATTTATCTCTTTGATATATTTTGGTATATTTTCAACTATTATGATTTTTTTAGATTATATACAAATTATTTGCAAATTACTTTTATATACTAGCCAATAAATCTATAGCTTTATTTAGGTTGGAATTATTGTAATGGAAGAAAATGAAATAATACAAGCTCTTAATAGCTATGTATACCATAAGACATTTCCACTAATAAAATTTAAGAAACATAAAATGGCTCATTTAGAGATTTTTTAGTCCCAACTATTTTCAATATATACCGTTTTAATTTTTAAGGTCTAGGTAACTGTACAGATTCTTTCAGAGCAATTATTAACAATAAAATTTAAATAATTTTATGTACTTGAGTATATTTACAAACTGTTTAGTCAAATGACTCAACCAGAAGGTTCAATGAATCTAATTTCTTGTTTAAAAAATGAAAAAGAAAAAATTATACTGGGTAAAATGTCACCTGCCTCTCAGCAGTATTTTATTGTAGCTAGAGCTGATATTTTTAAATTACACTTTATTAGTTTTCAAGTAATAAGTACAAATTTGAAAGGCAGCAATAATTCAAAAGGCCTTTTTTCTTTTTATATACTTTTACCACATTATTGAATTCCCTCTCTCATAAATTACTGTAATAGAAAGATGAATAAATTGTGATTTTTTTTCTTTTGTTAATGGAGTTAGTTTTGCTTGTATGGTCCATTTGTCATTACTGACCACATGTGGTGACTCGGGGATGACAGCCAGCAGGTTATGCTTAACATTCTTGAAGCAAATGGTAATTCTATCGTAGTTCAGCAAAAAATACATAGCAAGTTTGTACTAATGAAGAACGTTAGAACTGTCTGGTATTAACACCAGTCCTGCATGTGTTTTTCGTCCCATGACTGTTATTTAAATTAGTTATACTTGTAACCATAGAAAAATTTGTTTACATGCAGACTGATCAGCTGTTCACTGCATGTTTCCCCTTCAGTCCAGATTCATATCTGTTTGAGGACATGCAGAGAGAACCAATCTGACTCGTATTAATCCAGGTTGTTCTCTTCCATGCATTTTACAGGCATGTGAAAATCGATACCCATTTTAAAGAGACTGTCAAGAGTACGGGGAGAAGACAGAAAGCACTTGTATATTCTTTGTGCTTTTCTGTGTTCAGTATAGGGAAATGTGTGTACTTTTGTTGTATCAAACCCCGGTAGTGATAGTGATGGGTACTATTTGATACTAGCAATGTAACTTGGGAATGATACTTAAACGGTAGCTGTTGAAAGACTAGCTGTGATTTCAGAAAACTCCCTGGTGTATAATATTAAATGTGCTGAATATTAATAGGCAGCAAAATTTGTGATAATATAAGATATACGAAATTAGAATTTAGTATTAAAAATGTATCCACAAATTTCAAGTAAAATTTAGTGAAAACATCTTTGCACTTTATAGTTATACATGCTTGATTTCCAATTTCTTTCTAATCCATTTAGACTCTGCAAATAGTTAGGTTCCTGAATGCTACCTAAGCAGTGTTTATTCAAAAACATCAAAGCTTTCATTTAAAATATAATTTTCTGTTTCTTTTTAAAAAATACTGCAGTATTAGAATTTTAAAAATTCACGAGCAAGAAATGAGAATTAAGGATCACTCTCAGGAACATAGTTATTTGCATGAGGATTTCTAAGATATAATTAGAGAAATCAGGAAAGGCAGTTTAATGACCTGGGAGAAACATACTAATTCATAGGCATTCGTGACACATGGTTCTGTCTGTCTCACTTAATTTACAATTTATAAGTGTTTTTAATTAGCTACAATAAGTATAGTTATGTGTTTTAACTTCAGGTGATTGCACTTCACCTACCAGTCTTTTGATGCTCAACAGAACATGTCATCTTAATTTTCCTGTTTCTAAGTAGTCAAGGTAATCCTGTTGCCAATCATTTTAGATAAAATATCACTTTTAACTTTTACAAGATCATTTAAATATAAACCTCATCTCAGAAAAGTCTTCAATTTATGACACATTTTCAAGATAGTTTGTCGATAGGCAGAGATGATAACTGGGTTGTGAATTGGCTGAAGAAAGGAAGGGATGAGGTATTGTCCCTCAGGTTCATCAGACCCACCTAGAGGATGATGACTCGCAGCAAGAAGAATGAAAATATTACAAACTTTTTTTTTATTTTCTACATATGAAAATGCAGACACATGTACATAACTGAACGTGTCTAAAATTCCGTTCTTTCTATTGCTATGTTACCTCATGCACATACGATGCCTCATATCAGAATACAAGAAAAAGTAAATCATGTGGAATCAGTCCTGATGTAAAGAAATGCCTTCGCTGTTATTTTTTTACTGAGTTGATTTTCCTTTCTGATTTGAAAATATTAATGTCAAATTTGCTCTACGTAATGTTCTTCAGCTAAAATTATACTCTTTTAAAAAATGCTAGGTTTGGTTTCAAAATCGAAGGGCCAAGTGGAGAAAAAGAGAACGATATGGCCAAATACAGCAAGCTAAAAGCCATTTTGCTGCCACCTATGACATATCAGTTTTACCAAGGACTGACAGCTACCCACAGGTATGATCAATGACACAGAATGCTCATCAAAGATGATGGATGTGGCTTCCTCAGAGGGTGACTTAAGGTTTCCTAGATCTAGCACAATAGCCAAGAGTAAAAATTTAACCTCCAGAAAATGTATTCCACTCTTAACAGATTTTTAATTCACTAAATGATATATTTATTTTTTTGTTACCTCCCTTCACAGTCATTCACTGAAATATTTCACTGTCTGTGCCTTTTGGGTTTGTTACATATTGAAAAAGAAATATCACTTAATGATATGTCTTAATTGTATCATGCATTCTAATTATTCAGGTTATTTTCATTAGATTTTAAAAAACATGTTGCCTCATAAAATCTTTGTGGATATAACATACAAAATGTGTGCACACAACATACAAAATGCTGCTGTTAAATGTGAACTTTTAATTCTCAACTCTATTTAAAAACCTCATTCTTTTACTAACCTGTTTTTTCATATTTGATGTCACTTGTTTCAAGAGCACACTCAATACTTTATGATCTATGGACATATTTTTAAAAAATAATCGTACATAAGCTATTTATTACCAGTGGAGCTCTCTAATCATATCTCAAACAGTGTTCATATCTCCTTTTCTCTTTATTTCTTTTTGGCCAATAATGTTTTCTTCTATTTCACACTTTGTGGTATGTGTGCATGTATTTTTCTCATCTTAGAGTCTATCATACATCATGTATTCTGATATTATATTTCCTTAATACGGAGTAATGATACTCTGCACTGCATTGTTGATGCTTGATGAGTCACTGGAGGATTGTCTGAGCAAGTGGTGCATTGTTTCATACCTTGCTATTCATTGATACATGCTTTGTGAGACACATATGAAGTGTAGTCTGGATAAGTACTTTGATATGTCAGTATGAGCCATCTCAACTCCTAATGTGAGAATACCCATTCTGTTCAACTGTAAACTCACACCCTCCATGTCAATTCAGCCCTCTAATGATGCCCTTTCCTAGTATTCTTTTGCCTTTAAAATTCCTTTAAAAAAGTTTTTGTGAACTTCTTCCTTGCATATAATTCTTTAAATTTATCCTGCAATTTTATACTTTAAAACAGAGCACCAGAAAAGACCAAGTTCTGCTCCCTTATTTTAAAACTCTGGAAAAAAACAGCCTAGTTGTGTTAAGGAATTGGCCTACGAAGGCATCAATGTTTTCTTCCAGGGTAGACAATGAGCAACTGCTATGGCTCCACGGTATCCTTGCAGGTTTCAAGAGGCTAGTAGTATAAAAAAATTTGATTAGTTGCCATATTCTTCCATTAGTATGTCCTGTGTCCTTTCAAACTTATCTGAAATTAGTTACCTTATTTCTACCTGGTTAAAATCATGACCATCTTTTGCTTACTAAGCATCTCAGAGCTAGGGAAATTTCATCAACCTCATATTCTTTGGGAGGCAGTGGAATTTTGAGCAAAATGCTATGAAGCTGTTTTCCCTCTGGATGGTAACCTCAATGGGAAGACAGACTGTGATGCCTTATAGTTTTTAAGCTGCAGGACTCTTGTGTACTGTCCAGGCCATGTCCTAAACAGGTTGCATACTTAACCAAAATAACAGCCATCTATAATAATGGATATCGATTTTCTCCATTTCTCACATGGGGAAAATGAGGCACCGAAGTAGAATTTACTTTCACTTGTGATGAACCCAGATTTGACCAGAGTCAAGTTTGGCTCACTGGCACAACATCTTTCAGAAAACATACTATTTAAAAATTTAATTAGAATTTCAAACATGAATGCAATATTCATATCATTTCACCCCTGCCTTTCCTTCCATTCCTCCCAAGCCTCCCGTTCACTCTCAATTTCTTATTTAGTTATTATTGTTACATTTATTCTCTCTCTCTCTCTCTCTCTCTCTCTCTCTCTCTCTCTCTCTCTCTCTCTCTCTATCAACCACACACACACCCCCACCCACACACAGCTGAGGCCATTAATTTTGCTTTGTGTGTATAGTGATTTAAGGCTGACCTTAATACACATAGTAAACTGCCTTTTCCATATGTATATGTGAATACATTTAAGTCCTTGAATTACCAGCAATGTAATTCTAAAAGAGCCATGAATTCCATTGCTAGAATCTGCAGCTTACTTCAATGAGACTGGGAATGTACCTCAAGCCAGTAAAATAATAAATGAGTGTTACAGTGTATAATTTACATCATTTTGAAGCTACTAACTTCAGACTTTAAAAAAGAAAGACACCAACTACTGAACTGTTTTCAAGTAGAAATTAGACAATTGTACAGTAAACTTCCTACACAATTCTTGACTGAAGTCTCTCATTTTGAATACTGCTTCTTGTCTACATCCCTTTGACTTTAAACTCTATTTATATTTTTATTTTGTGTTCCTGGCTGTTGGTTACTTTGTTTTTGGCTAGTCTGTCTTATTTGCTGTTTCATAAAACATTTGCAATGGGGCCTGGCACCAATTAAAATCCTCAAGAGGGCCTATAACACTGACTAGCCATGCCTTTTGCTAGCACAAGATTGCCATTGGCTTACTGCAATTCACAGGATTGAATGTCAGCTAACACAATATTGTAGCCTCCTAGCTAAGTCAGGAAGAGGATAAGGTATGTCCAGTGGACACTGGATAGTTATTTTTTCACTTCCACAAATCATGGGAATTTTATTCTTATTCTCCTCGAAACTTCCATGCCATGTAAATAAATTGGCTATACTAAGGTATGGGAATACAGACGAATTGTGCTGAATTTATTTTGACAGAAAAATGATAAATGTCTATAAAATAAGCATTGCAACAACCTCTCAGACTATTCTATATTACTGGTAAATCATATTTATTTATTTATTTATTTATTTATTTATTTATTTATTTATTTACCAGAGTTCTGGAATCAAACACATGTCAGAGTAAACACTGGCAAAAGTCAGAGGAAAATTCTCCTTCAACGTAAAGTATGAAGTAGACTTATTTTAGTTCTTTGAAAAACAGTTATGTCAAGATCAGGTCTCCCAGGCTTCAGCCTAAAGGAGATGTTTTCTATCATGCAGTTTGAAAATAGAAACTTCTAACAGGAGAAATAGGCACTGAAATAGAATCCAAAGACTTAGTGCAAGAAAACATTGAATTTGGTACTGTTACTAATTACACAGAAAAAAAGTATAAACTACAAAAAATCTGAAAACTGGAAAATGTTGGATGCAGGGCAGAAATAAAGAATTAACAGTTTGGCAGGAATGCAAAAGCATACACAGAAATACAGGAAAAACAGAAAGGGTTTGAAATACAGTCTTTTGAAGTATGGAAAATCACTGTATCTAGCAGAAAGATGGCTACATAGGATATTAGTAATTAACATTTATAACATGCTTTAAAAACTTTGTTTCCAACTGGTTTTTATTACTTTGGAGTAACAATATAACTCTAGAAATATCAGTAAAAATGAACAATCCAGGTGTTACTTTAACCCAGTTGTTTGCTTCTTTCTTACCTCCAAGCACTCACTTTGAGTCCACATCATCTGAGGTTAGGCATCAAAGCCCGTTTTTGCAATCTTCTCTTCTAAATTCATCACATAATAAAGTAGTCAATTTTGTCCCTAAAATGTGACTTTCTTTTTCCAAAGCAAAATATGTGTTCATCTTAAAATTTATAGAAGAATAGCATAAACTATTTTAAATGTGTTCAATCCTTTTAGATTGTGATAAGGTCTTTTTAAAATTTCGCTTATCTTTTGTTGCAAATGAACAAGATGAGCTGTATAATGCCTAGAGTCACATACATTAAGGTAGGATATTTTTCCTATGTGCTGAAAACAGTTTAAACTAGGCATGGTGGCTCATACCTATAATCCCAGCACTCAGTAGCATATGGAAGCCAGATGAACAAGAGTTCAAGGCCATCTTTAGCTGTGAGTTTGATGTCAGCCTGGACTTCAAGAAACCCTGTTCCAACCAAACAACCAAACAACCAACCAACAAACCAACCAACCACTCCACATACAGTAAAGCCAGGCATTATGCACACACATCTAATCCAACATTCAGGAGACAGACCAAAGGATCTCTGCAACTTCAAGGCTGGAGATCTGGCTTCATGAGAGACAGATTGATTCCCAAATATCCAAGTCTGAGGACTCAAAGCTGCCAGTGTTTTGGGCACCTGTACTCACATGCACACACACACAGGGGCACACACACATAGTTAAAAAGAAAATAAATATATATTTAAGTACCTAGCTTTTGCCTACAACATCATTTGGCAACATTGTGATCAAGCTAAATTATTTGATTTCAGGACATTACTATATTAATAACAGTCTCACTCTTTGCGTGGATTCCATTTCTGTATGAGAATTCCCTTCCCCACCCATGCAATATTTCCTCCTTGACCCTCTGAAGTCCTTCCTCTAGTAGAGCTGTATGTGCTATGACAGGTCTTCCTACTGTTTTCAATGTAATCTTTTAAAAATACAACCCAGTTTTTAAACACCTCTGTATAGCAAATTAGTCAATAGATGTAAATTCATGTACTGATTTACTTCAATAACTTTTCATTAATAAATTAAAAATAATGATCAATAAAACAGATGGCTTCTGCAGTCTTTATCAGAAGCAGAACTGGTGGTTTAAGGAATTAACTTTCCTTTCTTTAATATACTAAAGAGATTTTCAGACCCCATTGCATCATAATGATCCCCGCCAAATTTCCTTTACATTTTATCAACAACTACATGTTAGTTACTGGTTTAGGAATGGAAGATATGTGAGATTATGTCAAAATACTCTGCTCTCTAGGTAAATTACATGCTAGGTAATGTTCATATTAAGTTACACACACATTTGTGCACAGAAACCAGACCCAAGTAACCAGAAACTTAAAAGGTCTGAGCCTTGGATTTAAAAAGCAAGTAAGAAGCTAAGCACTGAACTCAACTGAAATCCAGTTTCAGAGAAGCAGGAGTGATGAACAAAGAGGTCCATACCAGGCTGGTTAA